CACGCCCAACCCTCCTCCTTTATCCTGACTTGGGACAGGCAGATGGCCCCAAAGGACCTCTCTGGTGGAGTTCTTGTTGGGTTGGGGGTGGTTTAATTATGCCAGTGGGAGAGTTCTCTCCCACCAGCATAGAGCGGCTACACAGGAGATCTTACAGCAGCATAGCTGCAGCGGTACAGCTGTGCCACTGTAATGTCTGTAGTGTAGACATAGCCTAAGAGTGCTATGGTAAGTAGAAGTGGTAGATTGTTGAGGACTCTCATTCTTTTCTATGGAACAAATTTCTACCTAGAGTCTGGCTCTGCATCCCGGAAATATAATATCAGGCCTCTAATGTGATGGGCAATTTTCAGGGTGAGGGGTCAGCTCTCATTGGCCTTGTCATCTTTAGGGGGGGGAAAAGGTATGTTCTTAACCCAATTTAGCTAATTTGAGTTAATTATCTCAAGGTAAAATCCTTGTATAGACAAGGCGGTGTGCAGTTTTTGCATAAATTAGCAAGTTGAGTTAAAGAGTCATTCCCCCATAGCCTGTATTTTACCCCCTAATTCACACAAAAACTACACACTGCATTGTCTTCACTGGGATTTGTCTTGAGTTTGGTAACTAGAGTTAAGAACACACCTATATTCATAGTGAAGACACGCAACCACTAAGGTGCAAGAGTCCCATAAATCACTCTTAATTTACTCCCAACTCTACAGTAAAGCTTAATGTTTTTGACATGTGGTGTCAAAATGTGAGTGTTTGAAAAGTTTAATATTTGATCAAGAATATTTTTAATAGAACAGATGTGACCCTTTACCTGAAACTCAAACTGAAGGTGAGGATTTTGGGGGACTGGAAAGGTTCCAAGATTATGTTTTAAATGTGTTGTTTGTTTGCACCTCTGAACCTTCTGGTTCTGGGAACAAAAAATGCTAATTTTTTGAGAGCTCATGAGACTTCTCATCTGATGTCTGAACCAAAGAAGTTCAGCCATGCTTGTGCATGCGCATGGGCAGTGAACTTCAAAGCTTTCTGAGGTTCACTCATAATGAACAATCATTCCTGGAAAACTGTGACTCCTTTAACTTGTTCTAGAAGATATGCCAGCTTTTAGTACCAGTTTGTTTTTCATGAGTCAAGACACTGAAGATG